GTGAAAACATTCATTCTGGTGTCTCTCTGTCCTGGGGAATCCAATATGTTTTCCTGTTCTTAGTGACTAATGTTAGCAAGATGTTAAGAGAAAAGCATTGTGATCACAGTGTTATGCAGTAAGTCATGAATGTTTGAGTTATAATCATGAAGAACATATTTGTACCATTAACTGGAATTATCCAGAAAAGAGAAATCATTGGAATGAGTAAAGTTGAGTCCAATGTGCTCATTTGCTCCTTGTTTCTCTTGATTCCCATTAAAGACTGCTCACAATTCTTTGCCTATTCTGAAAGCAAATTCTTTCACAGCTTTTCTTGTCTGAGAAAGAATTGAAATTAATAGTGTACAGTAACAAAATTAAAACGTACTTATGATTAGCTAGAATTAGTTTCCATTACAATTTATTTTTGTTTGCACCCATAGTTAAATGACTTTTACTATTAACACAGTTCCTATGTGAATTTTTCACTCCTATATATAAACTTTAGGAATTTGCAATAGAGCCCATACTCACTGACCCCTGTAGAGTTACTTTTTCTGGAAAATGAATCTTCTTAGTTACTGATTAGAATACCAACCATTACACCCATTTCCATCATGATTATAAGATAGATAGCTGAGGGAAAATGACATTGAAGGCTGCCTCTCAGTTTAATCATGTGGCTCCATTTTAAAATATAAATAATAGAATAAAAACATTTTCCATAAAATTTCTGGTATCTAATTAATGTCTTCCAGAGTAACTGTGGTATCAAACATTTCCTCTAATTATATTCATTAACTGCTTTGCCCGGACAAGTTTTAATTAAGTTGTACAATGAAGATCAATACTCATTTTGTATTCATTACAATTTACAACAAGCATATATACTGTTCAGAACAATTTAATTACTGTAATTGTAGCACAGAAGACACTTAGTRGTTGTACTCTATTACTGCCAATTCCCTTTTTTTGAATAAATTTGGTAGTACAATTTGGAAATAAAGTTTTGAAAATTCACATTTAAATACACCTTGTAAATTGTAACTGCATTTTCATATTTTTAATTTTATATTTATTTTTATTTTCTATTTTTATTATGTAATTAGTAAGGGAAATGGAGGCATTAATGACATCAGTGACAGACTGTTTCTCCCATACACCATCATGAATGCTGAGAAGCATAAATGTTGATGAATAAATAAGAACACCTGTAATAATTGCACTAGTTTTGTGAAAAATTAACATATAATTATGTGGTTAAAATAGTGTCTTTCTAGTTCCCTAAATAAAACTAAGATTGTTTTATTACATTTTTTTTACCAAATGAAAATGAGTTTATTACTTTTATTTTCTTAAAAATTGGGGATCTTAAGGTATATTTCCAATATGGTACCTTCTGTTAATGAAGATCCTGCCAATGTTGTACTGTAAAAAAAAAAAGGCGAAAGAATAGATCTTTTTTTAGTAGCATCAATAGGTATATACTAGGGCTTCTCAATTTCGGACTAGTGAAATTTGGGTCAGAAAATTGTTTCCTGGTAAATTTGTGGTGTATTGCAGAATGTTTAGTATTATGCCTCGCTTCTTCCCCTTAAATGCTAGTAGGGAAATACCCTTCCCCCTCCCCTAGATTGTAGTCCTCTCCAGATGTTATCAAATATCAATGCCAAGAAACACAGGTGTATGCTGAATCAGCCACACCCTCTTGATCTGCCCATTGCACAGATGATTCATTCATAAGGCAAATATAGCCATTCAGCTCTTGGAGCTCAAAGTAAGATTATGGGCATGTGTCAACCCTGGAGTTCCAATAGAGTATTCAGTAGTAATAGCTATCTCATAGTAGGAAACTGAGGATCAGTGATGGCTTCCTCAAAATGGTAATTCCTGAAATTCATCTTGAAGGAAAAAAGTTAGCAATTCAAGAAGGGAGATGTCATTTGAGAAAGCTTAATAGTCTTGTTCAAAGCCCAGAGGTAAAATAAGTAAGTAAATAAATAGATAAATAAACATATTTATTTAAATATATTTAAGTGATATACAGCAAGTTATAAATATATATTTAAATTTATATATAAATTTTAGCTATTTTTCTCTGAGACATATGATGAACTGTTCCAGGTCTAAAGCATTTATTCTGCACTTTATTAACAAAAATTTAATGTATTTATCTCAAGAAAGCATTTTGATAAAATCGTGAGATTAAATATAATTCTATTGCAGGTTTTTTCATGTATTTTGTAGTGTATTTCAGTATCGATTTACTTCCCTGTCTGTGTTGAGCCAAAAAATAATAAAATAAAATAAAAATAACATGTAGATTATAAGCTAATTCAAGTGATGACAATAAAAGAATTTTGAAAAGACATTTGGAATTTTGTTTGTAATAGGGAATATTTCAAATTCACATATTATTAAGAGACTTACAAGACATGTAGTTTCACCAGGCTGGCCAGTTACAAATTCCTGGAATTCCTATGCACATCAATTTGCCACCACAGGATTAAATTTGATTTGACTACTGTCACAGTAACACCCTTAGTTTGCTGATTTGCTCTACTTTATCTAATCTACACTGATACACTGCTGCTCAATATCAAAGATGAATCAAATGAATCATTAAAATGAATAAACATAACAATTTAGGTTCTGCACTCCCCTGGTACTTAGTCATGTCTAGACACAGCCCTAGTGTCCCAGAAAACTAAAATGAGGACAAGGACATTTATGTTTAATGTAGCCTATTCCCACAGAAAGCTGAAAAACCAACAATAGAACAAAAAGAAAAAATATGGATTTCACTAAAAAATTATATAAAGTGGCTTGACTCATAAAATCTGCAATCTCAGAGAGTAGTAGAATAATTTTGGTTGATTTGCTTTTGTTTTTGTGGTAATAAACAGTGGTTTTTCATTTGGGACATCTTTCTTTTAAGGAATTAGTAATTCCACAAATGATTTTATTGTTTCATGAAGGCAATATGTTTTGAGTACACCAAAGTGATACAAACATTATATAGTAAATATTTTTGTAGTTGAAGAACTCAAAAGTAATGATAAACAAATATATTGAACAACAATAACAACCTCCCCCACACTAGCATATTTTGGGTGTTCTAGAATTCTAAACTGCTGATTTATTTTAATGTTACTAGTATTATTATGAAACTTTAACTTAGTTTTTAAGATTTACATTCACAAACGTACTGCTTTGCCCACTAATTTGGGCTAGTGTAATAAAATGATGGATAATAAAGACTAAATATTTGTGTATACATTTTATAGCATGTGTAAAAATTTCAGTTTTAATTTTGATCATGATATTCTCAGTCATGATTTTGTCTTATATTCTTTTATAAAGTGTGACAACAAATTTTCCAGTCTATCAACTGTAATTTCTTTTGTTCCCCAGGTTTATATTGGTAGATAGAATTTTTTGTTGTTGTTGTTGTTTAGAATCAATGTTTTGAAGATTCTGGCTCTTGAATGTGATTTATGAAACTGCAGTACTTCTTACCAGGAATAACCCATGTGGTTCCCTTTTGGATTCATATGCCATGTTTATGCAAAGTTAGTCAGTTGTACAGTGGGCCAAATGCATCCATGTGAGATAAATATAATAACTTAGACATTGAACTATGACCCAATTCTAAAGCATTTGATTAGATAGTTCTCTTTAAACTAGTATGATTTCCCAGGGACAGTGTACAAGGACTATGTGTATATGTRGATATGTATGTATGTACGTACGTACGTGTGTATCTCTGTGTGTTGAGTTTGTGTGCATGTCTGCATATATACTCACTCATGGCTTCCTTTATAATGATGGTATTAGATTGCTACTCTGGAATTCCTAAGTATCTTAGGCTTTCCAGATATAACAGATTTGAGAATTTTATATGAAGCACATTTTAGACTCTGGTCACATCTAAGTAGAAGACATCTTTAGGGATGCAGTGGACTCTTAACTATAGCAACAACCCCAAGAACTGCTATAGTTTTCTTGTCTTGTTTAAGGGTGTGTAGATTTATTTCTTAATTAAACTTGCAATTTGGATTACAGATTTCAGATAATATCACACTGTTATAAGCTTGGGAATAGTTCATTGCTGTATAATGTAAATTATTTGTTAATTGCTTCATAAGCACTTTCCATAAGAAGATAAAGTGTATTTAGCTGCAATTTTATGGTAGTGGCTTAATCCCCAACATTGCGCCTTTAACCAAGCTACATGGTCCTATAGTTTTTGTGGGCATTTATTTTATTTTTTTCTTTTTCTTATTATTTGATCTTCTACTTTTCATTTATTTGGCAAAAAATATCTAAGGTAATGGCGTCTTTTTATATTTTGTTGTAATTGTTCTCTGTTTATTGAAAATAAGTTGTTCTCTTATATTCAAATGACATTTTCTACAAACTGTACTTCTTGTGGTCATCACAATGGAAGCTTAATCTAATTTCAATTACACAAAAAATGTGTATGTTTTTCTGTTCTTTTCTTTTTTTACATGTTTTTAATGTAATGATGGGATTTTTTTACATATTCATATATGTACACACTATAACAATATACTTTGGCCCAGCATGTCCCCCGCTCCTTCCCCAATTTTCTCCCCTTTGTCCCTTTCCTCTACTTATCTCCCTTTGAATTATTTTTCTTTTTCCTCTCTAACTTCTACATATGAGAGAAAATATATGACCCTTGATATTCTGGGTTTGACTTATTCCTTAACATAATGGTCTCTAGTTCCATCTATTTTTCTGCAAATGACATCATTTTGTTTTTCTTTATGGTTGAATAAAACTCTATTGTGTGTATGTACCACATTATCTTTATCCATTCATGTGTTAATGGACACCTATGCTGGTTCCATTGTTTGCCTATTGTGAATTGTGCTGCTGTAATCTTGGGTATGCATGCATCACCATACTAACACTATCAAAATAGAGATACAGATATGTTATTGTTGTTATTGTTATATATTTCACTCATCTTTTTGTTATTTCTCTTTCAGTGAATTTATTGGATTCACGCACTGTTATGGGGGACCTGGGATGGATTGCTTTTCCAAAAAATGGGGTAAGATCTTATTAAATTTTCCCCTAAACTTAAACTAAATGCATATGTATCATTGCTAAAAGTCACAGGAGGTTGAAAATTCACTGGATATGCTCCTTAAGACAGAAGGGAATTGTGATAGGGAAAGAAGTTTCAAATCAATGAATATCAGTTATATTCCTCTCTTAGTCTTTTTCTCCATAAAAAGATACAAAGGTTGTCCAAGCATCAGGAAATTTTAACATTGAAGTAACTAACAAATTTTTAAAATTAATTTATATATAAAATGAACTTAATTTTCTGCTGATTTGCCGTATAATGGTTATATTGTACAGGAAATAAAATTTAATATGTAAAAAATCATTGTTAAATCAAATGAACCATTTTTTTTTCATTTGCAGAATTATGGAATGAAAATTCTATAGGAAATTCATTTAAATTCCATTAATTAAAATATTTTTCAGATTATCAGCTAGGTCAGCATTCAGAGGTTGTTTTCCAATTTTGAATTTTTCTTTACTGAAAATTGCTTAGTAAAGATGGTTTTATTGGAAGATTATTATAATTAGCAATGCTTTCTATTTCATTGGTGCATATTACAAATTAATATTTTGGGAAAAGAAATTAGAAAAGTCTTTTTAACTCTCAAGTATTTTTTCTTGGTATGTAAATTCTTTGTAATTTTGAATGTAAGCAGACAGAGTATGTTAGATCTGACACATTTACTCTGTAAAACTTGGAATAATACAAAATTTTAATTGGAAAATGAAATTTTCTTCTTCCTTTTTTGAGTATATAAAAATCATATAGAATAGCTTATATCAGTATATCATATTTGTATATGCATATATACACTTATTGGTCTGAGGTTTTTTTGTTTTGTTTTCAATATCTGTCCAACAATTAACTGCTAATAAAATTGCACAACAACTTTGATGGCTACACATGATAAAGAATACAGGTTTTACAGAATTAGTTTAGTGATGTTGTTAAACAAGCAAACAAAAATGAGCCCTGGAATAAGGGGAGAATATAACTTGCAGAATTGACACATTGTATTATTTGATGTGCTTGGATTTCAGTACAAAATCATGAGACATGTAAATAAATAAGTAAATTTTATCAATACATAAGATGAAATCCACCAATATAATTATATTGAGGATTCCCAGATATTTGACATATTAGATAAGGGCTTTCTTTAATTAACAATTTAAAATATGTTCAAAGAACTAAAATAAAATGTGTCCAAAGAACTGAAAAAAGTATAAGATTGATGTTTCTTCTAATTCAACATGTCAGTAAAGAGATAGAAAATACTTAAAAAAATAAATTAGAGTTGAAATATATAAAAACTGAAATAAAAATATATTACAGGGGCTTATCAGCAGATTATGGTGAAAGAAAAATCAATAAACTGAAAGATGGAACCATTGAGATCCAATTAGAGAAAGTGAAAGGAAAAATAATGAGGAAAAGGAAAAAAAGAATTAAGATACTTGGAGGAACAGCACAGATATAATGGGAGTAGCAGGAAAATAGAGGCCAGAAAGATCTGAATAAATATTTGAAAAAATTAATGTATATAAATTTTCCAAATTTGATGAGATATTAAAACACATATTTAGGAAACTCAACAAACATAAGTAGAAGAAACTCAACAAATCCATCAGTAAACCATGGTTAAATGGTCCAAAGCCAAAGAAAAAGAATTTTAAAAGCACTGAGAGGGAAACTTATCATCATATAAAATAAATCCTCAATATTATTAATGGCTATATTTTATTACAAACAGTGGGGTGCAGAGGGCTGTGGAATGACATATTCAAAATATGATAAGCTGTCAAAGCAAAAATTCTATATCCAGAAAAGTTGTCCTTCAAAAATGAGGAGGGAATCAAGACCTTGTCAAATAAATAAAATCTGCAAGAGTATAATTATCAAAAATAAATATTTTTTTTTCCTTTTGGAAATAGAATCGTAGATTATTCTCATATGGAACCCAACCATTTTTTTTCCAAAAGAACTATATCTTTATTTATCTTTAATTTTTTTTCTCTTTACTTCACTTTCAGAGAGAAACATAATCTTACAAATTATATATATTCCCTTAAATTTGATGTATGCATTTAATTAACTGTTAGTTTTAGAATAATTTATTTATGATATAGTTTTATGATTTGATGTAGTTTGATCATACATCATTTAATGATGGAGATACAATCAGAGAGATGTGCCATTTTATGATTTTATCATTATGCTAACATCACGTGTGTACTTGTACAAACTAAACTGGTTATGATGTCACTGGGCAATATAATGTTATGGGACCACCATCATATATGTGATTCATCTTTCACGGAAACCTGGTTATGGGACACATTAACTGTATTTCAGTAAAAACAACACAGTGCTCCTATTTGATTTATCTTTTCATAGACAAGAAATCATTTTGCAATCATTTCATCTCAAATTAAAATTGTATCAATTTCATGTTAACATAGTTTTAAAAAAGTATGATTTTTTATTTAATAGATATCCTTTAGTGTTACTTTTGTGTAATATATTATGCCTATTCTATAATTCATATCAAATTGAGCAAGGCAAGGGTCATATCCTTGAGAAAGGCTGATATAACTTAATTTTACTGCTTTATTATTTCAAGAAATATCTGCTCTGTACTAAGTGATGAAGTCTATTCTAGAGACACCGTTATTATTGTTTTATGTTTTAATGAAAAGCTTATTAAGGTTTGTAATATTCAATGAATTTTCTTCCTCTAAATAGTATTCCTGGTCTAAGCTGAACCAGTCTTTTGTTGTTGTTTTGTTTTTCTAATTAGTTATACATGAAAGTAGAATGCATTTGACGCATCATATATAAATGGAATATAACTTCTCATTCTTCTAGTTGTACACGATGTAGAGTTATACTGGTCATGCAATCACATATGCACACAGGGTAATAATGTCCAATTCATTCTAGTATCCTGTTTACCCCTACCTCCTCCCCTCCATTCATTCCCCTATATCTAATTCTAAGTACCTCTATTCTTCCTTAGTAGTCCCCTTACTGGGAATTAGTACCCACATATCAGAGAAGACATTCTGTTCCCAATAGTGAGGATATAGTCTGGCATATTGCCAGGGGTGTGTGTGTGTGTGTATGTTGTGTATACACACACACACACGTTGAATTAGTGTTGTGTAAATTTAAAACCACACAAAGAAGTGAATATGTGAATATTTAATTGAAGATAATATACTTTTTCACTTTTTCAGATTATTCTCCTGAATGTCAGTTCTTAGGGATTGTGTTGGTGAACTTTCCCTTGCTGTGACCAAAATACATGACTTTAAAATCTTGGAAGAAGAAAGTTCATTTGAGCTCATGGTTTCAGAGGATCAGCCAATAGTATGCAAACCCCATTTCTGTGGGGCAGAACATCATGGCATAGAGGTATGGGGAGGAAAGGAAAATGGCTCAGCTTATTGTGTTCAGAAAGCAGAGAAGGGATAGGGGATGCAGAAAATTTGAACCTTTTCAGGAACACCCCAAATGACCTACCTCTTCCAACCATACCTTACATGCCTATAGTTTCTACCCAGTTTGAACTGATTATGCTACAGCTCTCGAAATCTAATAATTTCACCTCTGAATTTTCTTTAATTAACATAGGAATTTTATGGGAACATCTCATATTCAGATCATAATATTCATCCCCTGGACCCCAAAAGCTTATGTCCATTTCACAATGTAAAATGCATTTAGTCCATTCCTAAGAGTCCCCAGTCTTAACAGTTTCAGCATTGTCCAAAAGTCCAAATTCAAAGTCTCCTTGGAGACTGAATGTCTTGCTTGTGAGCACCTTTAAAAATCAAAAGCAACTTGCCTAAATCTAATAGACAGTCCCATTCTAAATCGGAGGCCTAGGGGTATTGAAAGAATGGATAAGACCAAGGCTAGCCTGAAAATCAGCTGGGCAAATATATTCTGCATCTCCACATCTGCCATCTGTAGCATATAGTGGCAAGATGTGATCTCCAAGGGACTTTGGCAGCCTCATATCTTTGATCTTGCTGGTTGTAGTGCATGTGCCCTCCTTTAGATTGGCTTTGTTCTCACACAGCACCTTTGTTAGTGGATGATCATATTGCTGACATCTCTTTAACATAGGGGTTTCTATTATAACTTTGGATTCATGTTCATAGCTTCTCACATCACTTTTAGAGATGATATGTAGGAATGCTGATCCTGCTACACTTTGCATGGCTTTTCAGGCCTTTCTTTGAAATTGCAGTAGAATCCTCCCCACACCCCTAAATTCATCATCTTTTATTTCTCCAAAACCAGCACCATGTGGATGATGCCAAGGTCTACCAACAGACTGAGCATTAATTATGCCACATGGGAACACAGCTGTGGTGGCTGAGTATCTGAGCATGGTAAAACAAATTCAAGACCCCATCCCCTGCAAACAGGGTGCCCTGTGATCTTTTAAATGTGTTTTCACTTCTATACTTTTGAGCCTGCTATGGGTGTGTTCTTGCTGATTTCTGAGATGCCCACAAGGCATATTTCCTTTTGTCCCTATGCAAAGTACTTAACATTTCTTTAGTGACCATAATATCTTCTGCAACCATATCTTTCTTGGCTCCAGTTTTACACTCACTTTTCTGCCCACACTGTGAGTTTTAAAAATATTCCTTCTTTAATTTGTGGTTCTGATTCCCACAGTAAACCTGGCTAAATTCTGCCAGTAATATTCATGCCATACTCTGAATGCTGTCTTGTCTTGAAATTTTCTTCCCAAGATTAACGAGTCCATCACCTTTAAATTTAGCCTTGCAGAAAATCTTAGAACATGGGTAAATGTAAACAACTTCTTTGTGAAAATGACCTCTGGTTTAAACCCCAACGCTTGTTGTCTCTGAAACCTTATGAGCACAGGTTGTATTTTCTGCATTGTTCTTGGCATTCTGGTCTTCTGAGCTCCTACAAGAATTCCTTATTAATATCTT